TCAACAGTAAACAACTTTCATGAAAATTAATATACAAATCTCAGAGAAAATTAATTCAAGTAACTTGACAGTGACAACTCTATAAACATTTTTTTACCAATAAAACAAAACATAATAGGTGGATTAAATTCTTGTTCATTCCTCAAAACTTCCTCTTGAACTGAATTCTTCATCTGCAACACCCAGTATATCCCTAAAATATTCAAACTGACATTTTGGTGAAGGTTTTGTCATTATATCGGCTACCCGAGCTGCGCTTGGGATATTTTCAATTTTAAATACACCTTTCGGCATACTTTTCTCTAACAAAATGATATCGCACGTCTATGTGTTTAGTGCGCTTGTGGAATTCAGGATTCTTTATCAATTTAACTGCACTTGCGTTGTCTATGTAAAATGTAGGTGTAGACAACATATCAGTCAATACTGCCTCAAAGAGCCTCATCAACCACACCAACTCTTTTGCCGCCTCACTGCTAGCTATATACTTTGACTCAGTAGTTGATAGTGAAACGGATCGTTGCTTTTGACTTAACCAACATATTGATCCATTTCCAAATTTGCAAGCGACACCAGATGTAGATTTACTGGTTTTTACATCTCCAGCATAGTCTAAATCACTATAAACTTCCAACTTAGCATTTGAAATTTGAAAGTGAAGTCCATAATTTGAAGTGCCACGTAAATACCTGAATATTCTCTTTACATTTTGCCAGTCACCTTTCTCAGGTTTTGAAAGTTCTTGTGAAACGGAGTTGACAGCAAATGTAATATCCGGCCTTGAAACTACAGTCAGATACATTAAATGTCCAACAGCAGATCGAAAAGGAATATTTTCATTCTGCTCCTTAGAGTTTTCCCATGAAAACTGACATCTGTCTGCAGGAGTGACTACTGGATATGTTTCCATCATTTTGAATTTTTGTAAAATTATCTCAGTGTAAGGCTGCTGATGAATGACAAATCATATGAATTCCCAAATAAGTGTTCCATAGTTCAATCATGATTTGAAATTCCATTTTTAAGAAATTAAGCAAGTCTTTGAGTTTTCATATTTCCCTGGTATCAGTCTATCGTCAACGTTTAGGACAACCAATAACTTATTTTCTCCTTCCCTTATGAATAAAAAAGGATCTGCAGTACTTTTCTTCAAACCAAAATGAAGAAAAAAGACACATATTCGCATATTTCAACATCGTGGGGCTTGCTTGAGTCCATACAAACTTTTAAGTAATTTAAACTCCAGCAGTTCCATCATCGAAACCTTGTGGTTGTATTATGTAGATTTCTTTGTTAAGCAAACCATTGAGAAATGCCGTTTTAACATCAAACTGAGATAAATTCCAATTCCAATGGTGTCGAGGAGCAAAAGTTTCATTATAATCTTGCTCAGCCTTTTGAGAATATTCCTTTAAAACTAACCTTGCTTTCAACTTAGTAGATAACGTCATTCTTTTCTGGGGCCCAGATTCGATAACCATCCTTATTACCAATATATTCCACTAAAGATCCTTTCATGCTTCCCTTAGCAAATTTTCTTCTCTTTTCCTTTGGTATGTCAACTGAACAATCAGTCCTAAAGACCTTGAGATGTTCTACATAACTGTCTTTTCCTGTCCACAACTCAATCGAGGATTTTCCATCTTCTGTTCAATATACACAGCTGTATCGACTGATTCTGCCCACAGCTCCTATGGAAGATTCTTACCATGTAGCTCAGTCAGATTCCACTATTGTGCGATTTTCACGTTCTGCACCTCGGTCGGTAGCCAAGCGGTTCGGCGTGGATGCTTTGTTCAATCACTCGAATTGACTGCCGTGTTGGTCGGTGGTTCAAGCCCTAGTATGAACGTTTGATCTTCACTTGCTATCGTCCAACCCGTGTTAGGAATCACACGGTGAAAGGTAAGACCTCGTTAATCCTTAGCTCACACAAGTTTCGACTTCTGAGGGTTGTCGTTCGTAGGGGTGCGAATCCTTCCCTTATGAATAAAGAAGTATCCGCAGTACTTTGCTTCAAACCAAAACAAAGAAAAAAGTCACATATTCTCATATTTAAACATCGTAGGGCTTGCTTGAGTCCATACAAACTTTTTAACAATTTACAAACCTTGTGGTTGTTTCATTTAGATTTCTTCGTTAAGCAAATCATTGAGAAATGCCGTTTTACATCAAACTGAGATAAATGCATATTTTCTCTGGCTGCCACTGCAAGAACTGTTCTAATAGTGTCGAGGAGCAAAAGTTTCGTTATAATCTTGCCCAGCCTTTTGAGAATATCCCTTCGCAACTAACCTTGCTTTGAACTTAGTAGATGTACCTTGAGAAGATTCCTCTGTTGAGAAAATTCATCGATTTGAAATTGCCTTCCTTGATGAAGGAAAGATCGACCTTCTACCAGGTTTGATTTTCTTCTAAAGATTTCATTTCTTCATCCATAGCAATTTTCCATAATGATGCAAACTCTGATTTCAACGCTTGATCATAGTTTTCTGGAACATCGTAAGCCTCCGAAATGATAGCGTAAGCATCAAAATAATTTGGTTTCGATAGTTTTGATCTGTCTCCCAATCCTTCTCCTAACTGCTGACAAATCTGTTCGTCACCTACAGGAGATTTATCACTTGACTCTCTTAGCTCTTCAGTACTACTTTGTGCTTCAGTATCAGTGATATCTTTCTCTTTAAATTAAATTTATGTTTGCTGATTGACAACTTCATATTCTGATCAACTTTTCAGATGACAGATTTCAATTTTCTCATTTTTGAAAATGACATCTCTACTCAAGATAACGTCATTCTTTTCTGGGGCCCAGATACGATAACCATCCTTATTACCAATATATCCCACTAAAGATCCTTTCATGCTCCCCTTAGCAAATTTTCTTCTCTTTTCCTTGGGTATGTCGACAAAACAATCAGTCCTAAAGACCTTGAGATGTTATACATAACTGTCTTTTCCTGTCCACAACTCAATCGAGGATTTTTCATCTTCTGTTCAATATACACAGCTGTATTGACTGATTCTGCCCACAGCTCCTCTGGAAGATTCTTACCATGTAGCTCAGTCAGTCACGTCATGGTTATTAAATTCTAGTCCACCATCAGTAAAAAGTTCTTGAATAGTGTGGCCGATAGTTCTGGCTTCTGCTAGAAAAACTTCTATCTTGAACTTCACCTCGAACTTTTCTTTAAAAAATAGACTGCTCTGTATTTGGAGAAATCATCCTTGAATAACACATAATAATGGGCACTTCCAAGATACGTTACAGGCATTGGACCACATACATTAGCATGTATCACTTGACCTACTTTCTGGGGTCTTTCATTATATTTTTTGAAGCTCGATCTATGTTGTTTACAGAAAATGCAAGCTTCACAGAATTCACCGTCGACTTCTACATGAATTACTCGTTTTTTTTAAAAACTTCTGAACATATTTCTTGTTTTGGTGGCTCAGGCGTTCATACCATAAATGGAGTTGCTCATTAACAGATATGTTAGCTTGCGCCTCAACTTCAGGTAAAAGAACACGCATCTTCATATAGTAACGACCATTTTGTCTTTACTATTGATTTATTTAGTAGGATCTTCCTACCAAATAAATCATTCATTCATTCATTCTTTCTGCAAATGCCACTTTGGCATTATTTTTGAAAATGTTACAACAATATTTCTTGAAAGATGCGGTCATTCCCGTATCAAGCGCAGAAGTGGAAAACAAATTTCTTCCCATCTCTGGTACAAACCAAACTTCTTTGAGGTAATTTTGAGACCACTCTCCATTAACACACATTTCAACATCGATATCCCCCTTTCATATAGCCATCATGTGGTGACCGTTACCAACTAACACAGATTGAGGGACTGAAAAGTGTCCAAANATCACCCGAAGACGATTGTGGATACTAACAATTGAAACGTCGTTAAGTAACGTGGCTTGGAATCTTTTAATTTTCATTTCTTGTTGATAATTTTTTTATTTTCATTTCATTTTAATAGTTCAACTTTTTTATTTTTTTGGTTGTTGCTTGTATTTTATTTCATTGTAATTTCAGTTTTTTTGGATATTATTATTGTTAGTTTTCAGCTAATCTTTTAATGTTTTACAGATTCTTTCAGGGATTTCAAATCAATTTATATCATATTAGACAATGGAAGTCCAAACTAATGAAATGCACTACGAAACATTATCAACCAACTTCAAACAAAAATTATCATAAGATACTAAAGTAATAAAGAAGGGCTTCAAATTTGGATTGGGAATGGTTTGTTACAGATACAAAGAAGGTAAAATGCTACTGTCACTGCCAGAATCAAGATTAATTCTCTAAATGTTATCTCTAAGTGTCTTTCAATAAAAGACCTGATTACCATTTCGAAAACCAATATCATAAAAAATCGATGAACCAAAGAAGTTCAAGTACCTCGATTATATCATTAAAAACTTTGAATACGAATAACGCAGACCAAAATAAAAATGTAGTCATGAAAGGATTTTCTTCATATTTTCTTTTTTTATTTGAACTCAAGCACATGTACACATTATTAGTTGTTGTAAAATGTAATTTTTAGTTCAAAATATTCCACTAAGAGAATAAGTCATGATCCCAAGACCCTTTTCAGCAAATTAAGCAGTATTGCATTCATATCATAGTAACTATGGAATTAACTAAAATATAATTTCTAGAAAATACTTAATGCTGACAGGGAAAACATTCTCATAGAACAAACTTTGTTTGAAGGTAGAGTAGTGAAGGCTTTCAATTCTTTCACTTTGTCCAATAATCAAATGAAGTGTTTTACTAAATATTCGACTTGTCCTGAACCTGTAATTTCAATGTCATTGAATGTATAATATATTTTAATATCCGCAAATTTCATTTATTACTTTCAAATAAATTCAGATTGAATCTTACTTGAGCACCATAATGCATGTTCAAAATTTTTGAATTCTGTATTACATAATGAGAATATAAGAAGTATAGAAAATATTCTTACGTTTGCCATAAAAACGAGCAGGATCGTACGGTCCATGTATTTTGGGATTATATTCAACAGGATAATCTCCAAAGGCCATTTCAATGGCAAAAACCTAAAAAAATATTTTAATTTGCGTCTACAGGCAAGTAAGACAGTAAATGAATTACATACGAAGAATTAAGTCAACGTGACGTAACTACTTTTCAGTGTCGCCAACCCCATTCTCGAGTAAAATTGCATTATGCTTAAAAAAATATAGAAAACCAAATTATATGTACCGAAAGTAACTAGAAATGTGATTTGGTGTTTCTAAAATTGTCGGTTCTTTCAAAAACACAGATGCTGTGATACGTTTTTCTGAAAACTGGTGAAACCAAATGTCAAAATGCTAGTCGAAGATTTTGTTTTGGTGAGAGTAGCAATTGGCAGATGACTAGTTTGGATTTAGAATATTTGAACGGGATTTAGAATATTTGAACGGGATATTGTCAAAGGTAGCTCGGTTACCTCAATTTGGTTTTTAGAAAAAACACAAACAACTGTTTGTAATTGGAGAGTAAAAAATTGTTATATTTTACATACCTATATGAGTAGAATTTTATCATAGTATTTCATCATTACCATTTTCTAAAAATTTTATTGACTCAGGTACTTTTCAACATCGAAATGTTCAACTTATCAACTAGTGTTTTTAGGGGTAATAAAAACAAGAAAGACATATGAAAACCTGAAAAACCTAACGTAAACTAAATAAAACCTTTTGGGGAATGAAAGGTCAAAAATTATCAATTATACACAACTGTCCACTTCCAAAAGTAACCCACAATAATATATTTTTCAGGTGACTATTATCAAAGATTCTGGTTAGAAACGGCACAATATTCTGTGAAACTGAGGCCACACTAGCGGCTAACGTCAATGCCCATTATCGCGATGATTTTTAACGCGCTAAAGTGGGTGGCTACACTTAATACGGTCAACGTGAATGCCCATGATTGGCGATAAAAATGGCGTTAATTTTACTTTGAAGATGGACGTCCGACGTAGTGTGGCCGCTTTATCGCATTAATTCTCGCGTTAATCTCTTTGATGTACCGCCACTTGAGCTATCGCCTAACGCCAAACGGCAATATTACTGCCGTTGTCAAATTATCGCGTTAAGTCGTGGCTACACCTACGGTTAACGTCCATTATCGCGATAATTAATGGCATTTCTCGTTAGTGTGGCCCCAACAACAGTAATGACAGCTAAGGAAGAATAAGTTCTGAGCACTCATGTTTGAGGTTATTATGGTTTAACCAGATTTCCATGACTTCGGGAAATTCGTTCCTTTAAACGGGTTGTTTATATGTCAAAGTCTCATCAACTTTTCAGTGGAAAATTTTAAATTCTAATCTAGAACAAGATATTCCTAATACCGTCAGCCTGTATCAGCTCACGAATCTAATCCCTTCGTGCTTGGTTAATTTGAGTTCAACTTTGCACGCAACAACGCGGCAAAGATCAACCTTACTATATTGTTGAACAAAATTGCTATTTGGAAAATAAAATGGAAACAATTACATGGGGCAGGCATTGATATCCAAGACTCATCCATAAAGGCTTTATTTATGTGTGACAATGAAGTCCACCCTTTCACAATCAATCTACTTTAGATATATGTCTCTGTTCCAGTCAGCACCGACACAGCGGGGAGGTATTTTTCTAGCCTCAGGCGCCTGTAGGATTGGATGAAAACGACCATAAGAGATGACCGTCTGGTGTCATTATAGCACTCATGAATGTTCATCGAGAAGTAGCAAGTATACATAGTATATATCTATGGAAGTAGTAGACAAAATCGACCCAAACAAGATGAATTCGCCTAAAAAACGTTACACTTCGTTATTCGAAGTAAATATTTCGTGAAAACTATGAACTCCTTGAAACTATTATAAAACATAGTCTCATTATTTCTTCTATAATATTAATTTATATCAGTGTTTCTATTATTGACTTTATTGTATTTTTTGTTGTTCCATGTTATGATCATACAAAATAAAGGTGTGTTCATGTACATCATAATAATTTTACTTACAAGGTCAACCCTTTTATCATGTATGTGTAAACAATTATAAAGATAAAACCCTTAGTAATTACATAGATTATTGAAAATACACCTACCGGACTGAGTCATGGCCGGTGGGAGAAATCGTATCTGCGTAAAGTTTGAGTCGGTGTATGATGAAGAAAGTATAAGGAAAAAAGAAAGAGAAACTTTTGTTTGCAATTTCACGTTTACGGCTCGAATAATCAAACATACTGATAACATATTCCTACACATGTATTGCACATCTTGAGGGAGGAGCTTCTCATCGGCCTTGACTCAGTCCGGCAGCGGTATTTGGGAACATGTGCTAGTTGACGCATGAAAGTAAGGAAAATATGAAAATATTTTTATGAGTCCTTGATAAAGTTATTCTTTGGTCAGAGTCTCCTCCTTTGACACTGGCTGGATCCGCCTATGGGTATACGTGAAAGTCGGAAATGTGAAATTACTTGAAGACTATCATTACATTCCATGAATATGAGGAAGTAATGACTTTCTCATCATGTGATTGCCGTTCCCATACTAATGGTAATAGGTAATCCTCAGAATTTGCAACTTGCGCGAGAGGGATTGACTAGGGTTTATGTTTCAACTCAGCAAAAATGGTTTTGGCAGTTGACTTCCTTGTAAATAAATACTAAATAGATATATCTGAAGTACGAATTTTTAGTGAAAAACATTTTGTTTCCTAAAGTTTTCTGAAAATAGTGAAACTAGTTCATTATGCCTTTGGTGACATTCGAACTGACTGTTTATCAGATTGAAACTAATATATAATGAAAATAAAAAATAATGAGAAATAAAAATAGAAAATCGCAGATTCCCCTTATTTTCCTGTACATGTTACGTACATGTTAATCAAAATATATGCAACTCCTGGTTGAAACTGCGGCCAGTCTGGCCTATATATAAGGCATTGCAGTAGTCGCACCTGAGCTTGTAGACCCCAGATTTTTTTAATTTGTTCCGTGGTGACTTTGAATTGTTAATAAATGTCTTGTTTCTGTCTGTAGCATAAATGTGCTCGGTGATTTTCTGCTGTAAAAAAAATGGATTTGAAAATGTTCATCAAATTTTGTGTAAAAAATAGAATTGAGTGCTCAAAAACACTCACGATACGGTGATTATGCTCTGAGTCAGAAAAATGTTTACAAGTGGTTCAATCTTTCCACAGAAGGTCGAGAAAATGTGAATGACGACGCATGCCCTGGACGCCCCAGCACATCAACAGCCGGTGAAAATAATAGTACCTGATAATATAATAATGGTCTTCATTATTTCCAACAAGAATTTTTTTACACATTTCTCATCATTTTTACCTAAAAATTGAATATTGAAAATGATGGTAAAGTTCAATTCATTCAGCGAGAATATCACTGATGACTTGGGAAAGTGGAAAAAATTGTTATGGAGAATCGTTGAATCACCATTAGAGAAGTTGCTGAGGATGTATAGTTGGATGTTGGTTGAGTCATTCCATCCAATTTTTTCGGAAATTTTGGGCATGAAGCGTATGGCAGTGAAGTTCGTTCCAAAATTCCTGAATTTTGACTTAAAAAAAAGTCGCATGACTATCTATCGCTCGGTAATTATTAAATGACGTCAACGGTAACCAAATTTGCTTAAAAGGGCCATAACTTTTCCTTTTTATTCAATCTGTGAATAAGTTTACACGTGCATCGCCGTTGTCCTAACAAAAACTAAAGTTTTAGTGTTTTTTTACGGAAGAAAATTTTCAAATTTCTCACCAAAACGACAATGAAAATACCGTGAACAACTGTGTGAAGATAAAAATCAGTTTCAAGTTTTGAGTTGATGAAAATTTGAATTATATCTAAAACTGATTCAGTGTATTGGGTCTAAGCCGTAAATTGCAAGCAATTAGCCACATCTTTTAATACAAGTGGGTAGGTAGTACCCTTCTAGAGGCGTGCCCTACCAGAGGCGAGTTAAATCTGATACCAGTTTAATAGTACATGTGCTTATCATCATCGAATCTTCTTTTGCAAGAAACGTCCTGTGCCGTAGTACAAATAAAATGCCGTCAAATATAATTTGCGCATGTTGTAACAAATCTTACAAATCGAATCTAATGGTGAAATGTTCAGTTTGCATGCGATTTTTTCGGCATGTATGTGTTAACCTCTCAGGAAATTAAGATCGTGTGCGAACAGGATAAGGGTTATACATGGTTTTGTTCGGGCTGCAGGAATATTGGTAGTCAGATTAATGATTTGAGGAGTCTTACATTATCATTACAAGAGGATATTAGAGAATCTGTAAATAGTACTTTAAGTACCTTCGCCTATTATAGAATTTGAAGATATTATGGAGGAATTAAATGATCGTAACTCTCGAAAGATGAATTTAATAGTATTTGGTTTACCAGAACAAAATCAATCAGATCAGCCTCAAACTCGTTTAGATAAAGATGTGTTTGGTGTTTGTGAAGTACTGAAGACAGTTGATCCACACTTCCAACAATAGAATTTGAAACCAATTAGACTGGGTGGATTTGTTATTTGGAGCATAAAACATTCTCCTTAAAAGCTTTGTATATACCTGCGATACGATTGGATTAGTTGAATTTGAATGTTTTTTTGATGCCTTGGAACAGTTAGATTATTCATATGAAGGATATACGATTACCATGTCGTAGTGCATCAGGAGTTCTTGCTATATAGTCATACGGTGAATAAGTAGTATTATCTTGAAGTTATGCACCGCTTGCGAGAAGTAATACGCATAAAACATCCGGTATTGTGTAAAAACAATCCATAACTTTTGCATTACAATAATGCAGCTGACTCGTCATTGCTTGCTCGTCATTTTTTGCCCAAAAACAAAACCGTAATCATGCTTCAGCCACCGTATTCACCAGATTTTGTCTCCTGCGACTTATTTCGGATCCTAAGATTGAGGAGACCCATGAAAAGACGGCGTTTTGCAACGATTTTTGATGCAAATTACTGAAAGATGTAGGAAACAATTCCAATCAAAACTTTTTAAGTAAATATATATCATCTTTTTTATAATTTCAACAATTACATTTGCCTCGAGGTTCAAGCATATTCATCTTCTTTTTTTTTGTTTCTATACTACATCTAAATTACGCATTTAATTATATATTTGAATATTTTTCAGCATGTTTTCTTTCGTATCGCCCAATTTGGCATAAAAAGTTCATGATCCACAAGCAATACACAAAAATGAAAGTCAAGACTATATTTCAATCAGTAATCTCAATATAAATTTAAAATGCGGTAGTTTTCATTATCACATATTTATAACATATTCAAAATTCGTACTTCCGTTCAGGTAAAAGAACAACTGAATCAGAAATACGAAATAGTGTCGATGATGAGGAAAAAATTAGCACAGAGTAGGTCAGTAACTAAAACAAAAGAAAAAAGAGCATGAGGCCAAAGTACTACAAGCTTCCACGAACTGCATGGATCGGGATCGTGTTACGATCATGAGATTCAATACAGGTGAATGTCCAAAATATCTCTAATATTTTTCATTCCTCAACAAATTCCCCAACCAATTCTCTAATTTTCAACTCATGTTTTAATTCTGTGAGTAAAAGCAAACTTTTCAACATTTGACTTTGATATATGGAGCATGCATACGTACATACAAAAGTGAGAAATTAGTACTCAGCAAATCATCTTCATTTTAATCAGGTTGGAAATAGTTCCCTTACCCTTTCAACTGCGGTTCGTCAAGAGGACGAATGGTACATAACTGAAGGATGCCGCTCTGGCCTTGTGTACCTTTTCCTGACTGAAGATGAACAAACTGTTCATTTTAACAGACGTCGTGGGGCCTTCACTCAACTGAGCGACGGGGCCTTTTGAATCGGGTGGGGTCGCCTATAGTATAATCTACAGCTTCCCCAACAAATGGGTTATCATGAGTTTCCGCTGACTCGAAAACTCTCTGATTCCTCGACTGAATGGACTGCCATTCAGAAGGGACCTAACCCACCGAACCAGACCCCGGGGCAGATCGAAATCGAGCAGTTTATGTGAAAGTCGTTCGTGCCAGACTAGGTCGAAGGCCTTTGAAATGTCCAGGAGGACGAGATGGACTGCCTTCCTGAATTTTCGACCAGTCTCAGGGCATGCAGCTCGGTGGAGTGTGCCCTCCTGAAGCCAAATTGTTCGTCAGGCAGAACATTTCGGTCTTCAAGTTCTTCTGTTAGCCTTTGCAGCACAACATGTGCAGGCAACTTAGCTGTTGAGCAAAGCAGATTAAACGGACGACGATTCTGGGAAAACAGCAGGTTCAGACCCTGTTCCGGAATCATGACAACTACGACATGCTTCCATCTCCGAAGAAAGTATCTGAGGGCGATTGAACTTTTGATTGTATTCAGCAAATATCTGATGAAGCTCTCGGGGAGCTGCTTCAATAACCTATTGTTGATTGAATCATCTACCGGAGTCTTCTTGGGCTTGGAGGCCCAGTTCTTCCTCCGGAGCTGTACGGATCACCTCGTCATCATCCGGATCAACGTTAAGTTGAAACTGGCTCTCCATTGTATCTGCAAAGGCCAACGCCTTCTCGGCGGTGGAGTAGCTGATGCCGCGCTGTCCGTGAAGAGAGGAGGGAGCGGTTTTCCTCTTCTCGAGCCTGCAGATGACTCGCCAGAGCTCGTCATCCCCAGGTTCGAGTGATTCCACACACTCGCTCCACCTCTCGTTTCTATAGTCAGCGATGGCCTGTATAACTTGGCTGGCCATCCTGCTAGCCGCTGCCTTGTCTCCAGGGCAGAGTGTCTGCTGATAACTCGTCTGAGTCGGTTTCTCTCCCGGATAAGGTTCTTCATCCTGAAAGGAAATTCATTACAGTTTCGGAGAGGACACTCTGTCCTAGTTGTGGTTACGTGAAAACCGTTGTTCACAGCCAACTCGAAATCTGCCACTGCCGCTTCGAGACCATTACGAGCTTGAAGCGCCTCACGGTCTGTACGTGTCTCGTCTAGATGAGCCTTGAAGGCTTGAAGGCATATGCTATTTACTACGAAAAAGCTACTGCGATAGCGAAACATGTCACACAGGCCCCGCTCTGAAAGCGCTTTAAGGATTTTCCTGCAGTGTCCTCAAATAAAAATTACTCGTCCTCTTCAGCTTGAAGTTTCACTTATCGTGGGCCAATAAAATCAGATGTTTTCATGTTTTCCCACTCATTTGAAAAATATAACATGAAAAAAATGACTCGGGTAAATTTGTATAATCTCTCATTCATTTGTTTCATCGAATGAGGATGATAACACATTGGAGTAACTAATAGTAGAAAAATCTATCGTCAGTTCATGAAATATTTCAATATTAGGGGCCCTGTGTGAGATTCATCTTCCTCCGATGAATCATCAGATGTTTATTGTAAAATGGTATGGTCACAGTGTATATCATTCAAAAATAATTCAGACATTGACTTATGATAACACACTTGACAATTGACATAAGCATCTCATTTCAAAAGTAAGGCAACAATAGTATTTTTCTCAGTTAACCGCTGTCCAAAATTCTGGTTAGTAGCGGTCAACCAGTGATTATTTTTGGAACATATCTTTAATATTTTGACGTTTGGTTCACCAGTTTTCAGGAAACTTTTGTTCCATTAATAACAGATTTTCCAGTAGTACCACAATAGTGGTGATTCTAGTACTGAACCGCATTTCTGGTTACTTTTGGAACATAAACTATATATGAAAATTAAATATAGAGTGGCGACCCTGCCGCAATTCGTTTTTCAATTTCGTTATTTTTGTGTAGTTTGAATTATTTCATTATTTGATCCATGATACTTTCAAGGAATTCTATTGTACACCTAGTAATTTTTGATTGAAATGATCGTCCCAAGTATAACCAACAGAATTATTTACAAAATTCATTGCTTTATATATTTACAATTTGTGGAAGGATTGGTAGTAAATAATGAAGTTTTGGAAATGGGCAAAACACAATATAATGTAGGTATATTTTGATAAATCAAATTCACCCGCCAGGTATCTAAAATGAAATTTCAATTTTCAGCTCTTGAAAGACAAATCAGTTTTACCTCGTTATGGATCTTGCTGGAAATCTGCTGTACAGCATTTGGAGACTAGTTGCAGATATCTTAATGAGAACATTCAAAGTGAAATTGCCCTTCATATTACTAATTGTTTTCTAGAAATGTCAGGTCACCCAACTTATGACTGTGAATTTGATAAAAAGGTCAATTTAAGAGCAATTTGTATCAATAGTATGTCTGATCGTGCTTTCAATGTTTACACAGAATTTTACACTCACACTCAAAATATTTGCTGGTTTTTGCAAGGACAAATTTGGAATGAGATTATAGCAGACAATACCATACTTGTGGGAAAACAGCTGAAAGAGACTGCTCAGAATCAAGAAGGGTTGCTTCAAGCCCAAATAAAAAGTTTCAAACTTCAAATGCAAATGTATGAACATGGTAAAGTGTTGGAAAATGTTTTACACGATATTTTTGTTTCTTTTGAGACAAATCAAAGCACATTAAAGCTTCTGTCTGCAGCAATAAATAATTTACAAGATTGGATTGTAGGTGAAATTTCATGGATTGACTCTGCAATATTTTATTCCATATCAGTTCTTTCAGTTTTTGCATTGACTGCAACTCGGAGAACCAGTTCTGCACGATTACCCATATTACTTGTATTTTTTTTTCATTTATTAATTGAAAGGTATTTTTGTTCAATCATGGTTTCAAACAACTCAGGAATTGAGGCACATATTGTGCATTCAAATATTTATAATTATGTCTGGTATTCCAGATATGGACTTCTTATACTTGCTGCTACAATTTTTATTTATAATTTTTTTGTTCACAATGACATACTGACAAAACAATTTGAATTGCTTTGCATGATTCAAAATCAGAATAATCGTATTTTGAGTTTATTGAATGAATCTAAAAATAATTTCAATTTTTATAAACCTAAAATAGCACTTATTGATGATAGTTGTGAAAACTCTGTTCCGTACTTAAGGGATGACATTTCACATATTAGCTGTTGTGATGGTGATATTTCTAATTTTAATCCCAGTGGCATGGCTGTTGATAAATGTACTCCTTCCAAAAGGGAAGAAGTATTCTCAACGAAACATAAGAAATCTACATTGCCAATTATTGAAAATGATAAGAAGGTACATGGAGACATAAAAACTACAAAATATAACTTGAGAAGTAACAGTAGTTTAAGGTGATATTAAGAATATCACCTTAAAATTCATATTACATTCATGGAATAACAGGGTCTTTGAAGAAAATATCCATGCCTTGCCAATTGGTTGAAAAAATGTGGGCCGACAGTATTTTCATTGTATTGTGGGTAGTGTTGTCTTTAGATTCATTTTACGCCTGAGGTTCCAACTCTTGCCTATCAAATATAACATGAAGTTAAACTTTCAATATCACCTTAAATTTTATTATATACTTTGGTATTGGAATGAATTTATTCAAATTATCAATGGGGGTATACAAGATGACTTGTGGTTCTTGTCCCAAAATTCACATTGACTAAACTGGGGTAACTTTCTACACTATATATTTCATTGGAATGCCGAGAAATCAATAAGTTTGATAATTTGGAACTATTACTCAATGACCAAACAGATTTGAATAAATCCCCAATATTGAATTTGGTTTGTAATGAAGAAATTGGAAATTAAGGTAAATTTTAATTAAGGCAATTTGGGGTCTCATGTGGTTTGGCATTTATTTTATGTTCGGTTTGATAAGTTTATTCCTAGAATGGTAAAAATTCATTAAATACAAATTTGTCAGGCAGTGATAGACATTAAGATTAAAAAATTGTATATAAAAACACGATGTAGATATTGTTAAATCATACTGAACATGCCTGAAGAAGCTATTGTATAGGAAACCATGTATCATGGTTTTATGAACGGTTGAGTGAAAATCTCACAATAAAATGTTATTTGAATAATTCAACTATGTACTTTTATGTTATTTAGGTAACAAGAAGCATTTTCTTAGTGGCAGGACAGTGTAGATGCTAGCGTGAGGCAATATACATCCAAGCGGATAAGAATAATATGGGGTAGTTAAGTTGTTTGCTTCGTTGTACCTATACATACATGATATGTGTAATAATCCCTTTATGTTATGTTGAAATGTGTTTGTGTTAACCAGTTGTATCTTCTGCTAAGAATGACAACAGTCAGAAGTCAAGACTTGTGCGAGCTAAGGATTACAAAGGTACCTTTCAATTTGCGCATCCTAGAACGGGTCAGACGTTACACAGAAAAACCACTGTTGGATTCTAACTAACAAAGCAGTTGATTGAACGAGTAGAAAACTGGGTATCATCTGACATATAGTTTGTAATTTATCGTTAGTAGGAAATAACAATGCAGGAGCATAATGTTTGCTAGGGCATTTTGTTGAAAAGCAAAGAAGTTGTATTAGAAAATCCAAATAACTACCTCACTTGAAATTATATTGCCTGACACTTGCATTTATAGTTAATAGTAAAGCTTTTATACTATAAGCACTGTTACAATTTATTAATGTTAATTTAAGGGTATTCGGTGAGGCCTTGTCACAGCAATGTAACATGTTATCTCTCAAAGCCCTGAGATGATCCAAACTTCGTAGTTTCCTATCCCTTTGCCTATGTTGAAGGAACTTTCAGGTTTGTATGGCATTCACTGGATCATGCTTTATTTATTACATTGTTTATTTTAGGCTTATTTATTATACTTGTCATAGTTGAATTATGCCTAGTTTTTTCATTATCCTCAACTTCTCTTATTACTATTTTGTTTCATTCGATAAATAGACAATTAAATGGTCTGAATTAATTTTTATTTCATTATTATAAGCAATTATGCCCTGGCAAAAAATTAGAAGAGTTTATAGTAAAGAAATAGGCTGTTGAATTTCAAATTCAATATGAATAGGTTATCTTAACAAATTTGCTAAATATAAGTTTATGAAAAACTCTTCTTGACAATGTATAGTTTTCTATTGGACAAACAAATAACATAATAGTGATCATCATACACGATCGATAATTTTGTAAAACCTTCAGGATATCCAGAACCATTATCAATCAGAGAAGATAAATTGATCAGTTCCATGATAGAATTTGCAAATTTTTCTTCATTTTCTAAATCGCCCGAAGAAGAGAGTACTGCACCATCTTCATTCAACACCATATATCCTAATTGGCCTGGTCTATCCATTTCATTGAATTTCTGAAATATAACCTAATATACAATTCCAACCGTTAAAACTTTAATTTTGCCTATACCTATACGTAGAGTAATCGTCAAAGTCAAGAATCGAAAATTTTTTTGGGTTATGATTAACAGCAGTGTGAAACTGGTTAGCTGACAAAATTTCCGAATACTTCCGAACGTTCAGTAGCGGTACGGAGTAAAATTAATAATTATTGATACATTTATGTCACGATGTCATGAATGAACTTGGAGAAACTTTACGGATAGAGCGGAGGGTGTAACTTCACTCCTAAATGATATCATATGATAATCATTTTGTAAACTAGAGATTGAATGTATGTAGACGTGTCAAAATAAATACTTGGAAGGAGAAATGATTATCACTGATAATGTTTACCAAGTTAACTGATTTCTTCCATATATAATTCAGTTTATGTATAATCTACACAAAATTTAGCAACAAAAATATACTGAGAATCATGGAATGAGCAACCACTCTGAAATAATCGCTTGGAAAATAGGTTTACAAGGTGAATGGAATTAATTGAGTTAACTGCTTTGTTACATATAATTTAATTTTTCATATACTCTGCACAAAATTTAGTAACGGAAATCGATAGAAAATCATGAAGTAACAATTGAAGAATGCAACCATTGCGAAATAACCGGTTGGAAAATAGGTTTACAAGGTGAATGGAATTAATTGAGTTAACTGCTTTGTTACATACAATTTAATTTTTCATATACTCTGCACAAAATTTAGTAACGGAAATCGAAAGAAAATCATGAAGTAACAATTGAAGAAAGCAACCATTGCGAAATAACCGGTTGTAAAATTGGTTCACAGGGTGGAAAGAAATAATGAAGTTGGCTCTCTTTCTTTAAATATATATAATTCAGGTTTTATTGTAAAATTGGTTCACAGGGTGGAAAGAAATAATGAAGTTGGCTCTTTCTTTTACGTATATAATGCAGGTTTTTATATACTCAGTAACGGATATAAATAGAAAATCATGAACTAACAATTGAGGAAAGCAACCACTGCGAAATAATTGCTTGCAAATTTGGTTTACAGGGTGGAAAAAAATAATGAAGTTTACTAAATTTTTTCGTATATAATTCAATTTTTCATATACTCCGCACAAAATTTAGTAACGGAAATGTATAGAGAATCATAAATTAATAATAGTAGAAAGTAATCAGTCTGAAATGAGCGCTTGCAAAATTGGTTTACAGAGTGTAAAAAATTAATGAATTCAAATAATGTTTTCCATATATTATTCATTTTTTCATATACTCAGCACAAAATTCAACAAAGGAATTGTATAGGAAATTATGAAATAACAATGTTAGAGAATAACCATTGATGAATAATCGCTTGAAAAAAATGTTTATCTGATGGAAAACATTAATTTAGTTTCTTGGAAGAGGCAGCATTTCTTGGGATTGATCTGCAGATGAGCATTCCGTAATCTCGTGAAAACACTCCTCAAGTTCAACAGATGTTCGTCAGAACATTTTCCGGTGACTATAATGTCATCAAGATAGACCAAGCATGTTTTCCAGGTAAGTCCTCTCAACACCAACTCCATCAAGCGTTCAAATGTGGCGGGAGCGTTGCATAGTCCGAACGGCATAAACTTAAACTGGTATAATCCATTGCAGGTGGAAAAGGCAGTCTTCTCTTTATCCTCGGGGAGAACTGCCACCTGCCAACATCCGCTTTTCAGATCTTATGTTGAGAACCATCTGCATTCGGCCAAAATGTTCAGGGTGTCATATATTCTAGGGAGAGGGTAACTGTCCTTTTTGAGAAAAACAATAAACCCCCCGGAAGCCACGCAAAATCTCGTCGATCAATCTTTCTTAGTCACTAACACAACAGGTGACGACCAGGGGCTGTTTGATTCCTCGATTACTCCTTCCTCCAACATGTCCTTAACAATGGATGTAACAAAATGTGATTGGTTTAGATCTAGTGTGACCTACCTAGGTCACAAAATTGATGAGAATAGATTGCATCCGACTGAAGAGCGTATAGAAGCTATCAAGCAGATATCAATACCGCACGATAGTGCGGTAGTGATATCTGCTTGATGATAACTCTGCTGCTTGATAAGTGATCTGCTTGATAAGCGATAACTTATTACGGCAGTTTTATTGAAAAGTGCATACCTTTACATCGTCTTCTTAAAAAGAGTGTAAAGTGGAAATGGTCGAATAGAGACACTGAAATATTAGATAATTTAAAGCAAAGCCTGACATCAAATGATACTCTGATACTCTGAACAGCGACGCAAGCAATGAAGGTGCTATTACAAAAATTTCGAGATGGAACTTTGAAACCAATTGCTTTGGCATCAAGATCCTTCAGTGATGTCGAAGAACATTACTCCACTATTGACAAAGAGGCCTTAGGATTAGTATATGCTGTTACCAAGTTCCATCAATACTTATATGGTCAAAGATTCACCCTCATCACGGATCATAAGCCATTGGAGCGTATTTTTGGAAAGGATCGTCAGACCCCAAAAATAGCAAGCAACCGACTCTTAAGATTGGCCATGACGCTAAATACTCATAATTTCAACATTTCGTATCATCCAGGAAACGAAAATTGTACTGCAGATTCATTTTCCAGGCTGCCCTTGAAAGAAACAGCGAAAAATTCAGCAGTACCAAATTATGTGCGCTTATTGCATCCTGTTCCTGTTCCTATGTGCAAAGAAGAATTAAAACCCCAAACAAAAAAAGACAAGACTCTTTCACAAGTTATAAAATATGTACAATCATATCGGCCCGACAAGAAAAACCTCTCTACCGAGGTTATTCCATTCTATGAAGAAAACATGCTTTTATGGAAAGGATGCATCTGCATATCTATTTTGCAATCAGAGGTATTAACTATGTTACGCGACGGTCATACAGGCATTGCCATGCAGTCACTGGCTAAACTGCACGTTTATTGGCCAAATATCAACATTGATATAATTCATGAAGTAGAAATATGTATTTCGTGTCAACAGTACAGAAAAAACTATAGAAATGCACCACTACATTCATGGGGTGTATCTCCAGACCCTTGGTCTCGTCTTCATCTGGACGTTGCGGTACCTTTCGAAGGTAATATGTGGATGGTACTGATCGACTTCTATACGCATTGGTTAGAAGTTATATTAACAACATTACATCCAACTCTACTATAAATATTCTCCGTTCGATATTTGCTAGACTGGGTTTACCAAAGTTCTTGAAAGTTTTCTATTTTCCTACAGAAATACCGTAAGAAAATCAACCAATAGAACACCAACTCAACTAATGTTCGGTTGGCATTTAAGGTAACGATCTGATCTCCTTAAACCGGATGTTACTAAAAATATGGAGTCAGAACCATGACTATTCAGTTGCTCCATTGCATGATTTTACGGAGGGAGACGATGTATGGGTAAATAGGCCATTAGGAAACGGTTCCGAGCCGGAAAAAGTTGTTAGGCAGTCTGGACCATATCTCGTAAATGTTGATGGTTTTCTACACCGCAAACATTGCGACCAAATGCGGAGAAGAATCTCGGATATAGCACCTAATGTAGATGTAAACCCAACGGATATACAATGTGCTGCTGACGAATTAGAAAGTCACCCTGATGCTGAACCAAACAAAGGTACCCAAAACGAACTATCACCAAGCGACCGGCGCAAATAAAAATATCGCCCCAACATACCATGTGAAATTCAACCTGAGGATGTTGAAGAGGCAGTCGACATAGAAGAGCCCCCAAGTCAGGTGCCCCGAAAAAATCATCCAAGAAACAGAAGGCTCCCTGTTCGTTTCAGGGAATAAGCTTATCATTCGTGGGGGAGAAATGTGGTATCACTAATTGAGTCTGGAAACACTGCGGCGAACAGCCGAGTGACATTCTTCCGCGATCACAATCAGTCGATTTGACACGTTGGTCCAAATAGTACTAGATCACTCGTTGATTAATTGTAAACAGTTTATGAATACAGCTTTACTCACAGTATAATTTTGTGTTTGTAACACCCACCCATCATACTACAGAATTTACCACTGAAAGCCCACTAAATACTAGATATCGCTGAATAAATGTACTTGCCTATTTGCACACCAATTAATTGAAAGTTCCGCGTTACAAATATCGCCTCCGGCAACACTGCGTAGCATATCCAAATTATTCTAAATGACATTAGTTGTGTTTTTTTGTTGTTGGCATCCCACTCAGAGTGCATCCCATGGACCTGTGAATACTATGGACGGAGTGTTGAGGCGGGGGTCCACGTTCGTGACGGGGGGGTTCGCCATATTGGTATGACCACCGTATAGAAGTACACCTTCTATACGGTGGTATGACGAACTAGTGTTGCACTGTATCGGTTGCGAGTGGAAATAGTCATGATAACGAGTTTATGCTTATGGTCATATGTTACAAAAAACAGAAAATGAAAGTTCGTCTTGCAACAAAAGTGATTAGTACGTCTGTCGCCGATTCGCTAAAGTTATGTAGAGATGATTTCCAGCTCCCAGAATTTAAAGATAGTTTGCAACTGAAATAATCAATGATCTCTTCGATATTTTAAATTAAAAAAATATGAGGCAGATTCATTTAAAAAAATCATTGTGTTCGTAAAATTATTCGCAAATAATACAAAGACTAAGCCAATGTAAATATTAGATATTGAATCTGCCAGATATGAGATCACTTGGTCTTTTCTCTTCAAGAATAATCACATATATTTCAGGGTTTATTATTGAATATTTAAAAAACGTTTGCATTGCCATGAATGTGTGCATGCACTGATAGGCAGCACGGATGAAAAAAATTCTACATTGATCAAAATAACGAGTCGTGGTTGGAGTACAATTTCCATCGGAAGATGTTATTTAACTTTGTAGGGAGTATGAAAAAGCAATACGCTCTGCTCTCAAAGAGAAAGGATGAATTTTTCTTAATGAAAAATAGAGCGAAGCGTACTTTGTAAATTGTGTGCTTTCGAAATTCAACGAAACAAATGTTCTATTCTCTAATCTACGCTAACATGAACATGACCAAATGGCTTTAGAGAACCATGTTGAACATCTATGAGGGCAATTGTCAGCAAATATATTAAAATTAGACTATTCCACAATGGCAAAAGCGCCATAAATCACTCTGACAGCCATAGACAAAATTCAATTAATTGAATTTATTTAAGGGACAACAATGTTATTCCCTATCATTTTTGTATTTTGCTACAGTTCATAATTTAGTTTAAATATTTTTCATTTTGGTGAATTAAATTGCATTATTTATTTATGTTATATCCTAACCTCCAAATCTTCCACGTTGTCATTTACACCTATGTCTTTCCTATCCAGTACTTTCTGCTACTATACAGTAAACTTGGCAAATTTGTCATCCTGGAATAAGTTCCCCGCTCCAATGCCAATTCCCTCACCTATAACGATATTTTACACTCCGACCCTATTCCTTTGTTTATGTGGCACCCAGATTAAGCCATTTTCGCCAAAAGTTAATTCGCTATATCTGCTCGATGTATTTTGATCAAACAGTGGAAACGTGTATTTTGCTAAATCAACAATTGAGGCAAAATATAAATTATAGTTCAATACCACCTCTACAAGCCACATAAACAACGATGATGAAGATTGAAACTTTTAATCTTCCTCTTTGAAGATGATCACATGGTGATCGAAACACGTGTCGAGGTGTTAAAAATAACGATTTGGTGTTGGGGAAAAAACTCCAGTAATATACAACAAATTCCAATATAAATGCCATCAATTTAATCAATAAATATTTGGCGGCAAACGGAATCCATCTCTGATTGATACTACCGCACCTCAGATAACAATAATAAATATAAACTAGTAAATTAACAAATATTACTCATGAATGTTACTTAGATTTTTAAAAAATGAAAAAGAACAAGTGCGATTTGGGCTAAAAAGAAATTGGAATTGTTTAATACATATACTAATTCTCCTAATCTTCAATAGGTAGTTGGACGCTGAAAGACAACTAACAAAAGACGAAAATGAGGAAATTATAATAAATCCGGTGTGGAAGAGACTAAATGGTCAACAAACTTCTCATCAAACTAGGACAAAATACAGGCTGTTTTGTTGAAACTGGGTAATGACCTTGAAGTTAAACCTAAAAGCCAAGAAGAAGAAGGTATTAAGTGAATGTATAAAAGTGACGGGACGGCGGTCCAATAGTTACAATATCTATGCAAATATATAATTTAATAATTATTGTAAACAATTAACAATTATATTTAATTGTACATTGTTGGTGATAGTGATTTAAGATAATACTATGAAAGTATCTAAGACTAGTTAATATTTTGAACATTTTACAATCACGAAATGAGATTACATTTTCATAAAATCAGTAGTAAAAGTTGAAGGATAAGTTAACTTCTGATTTGTATTCATATTTATTGGGGTTAGTATATGCCTATATTATTTGAAATATCTGATTTCAATTCACCTCCAATATTTTAGGCAATGCGAAACAATTCTAGAAGGAGACCCAGAAGGTACTTTTTGGGACCCTCAAATGGGCAACTGCTTTACTTGCTTCAAGGAGCCCACACAAACGGCCCTAGACAAAACTACAGATCACAAAGATAAAGAAGGTAAATTAGGTGGCTCAACTTTTTGAGTGTCGTCATGTGATCAAATTTCTAAATATTACTGTACATTTGAACCCTGTCAAGATACAAACGTTGATGCAGAAACTGATCAGCAAGCACTAGCAGTCATAATTTTGAATATTAGACCAAATAGCTGTGTTAGAATGAAAAGTGTCACCTCTGCCAAAGAAGCTTGAACAAAACTAGAAAAAACTTTGCAAAGCAGCGGACTTCGTACACAAATATTTCAGAATGTTCTGTTAATCATTGAAGAACAATTCATATTAGTATTTCAATGGTAGAAGTTCATTTTAATTTTTGTAGAAGTTTATATGAAATCAGAATAAATGTGCTCATTCTTTACTGATGATAATTTTCACAGATAAGTTTAGGTGCAGAAAAAAGTAATTCGATGAAGTTCTCTTATAGCCAAAAACTGCTAAAATCAGAAAAGTATCTGGTTGATTGAATTTGAGAATAAAATCCTAACAAATGAATGAAAAGTCAGGACGATCCACATTTCCGTTCAAAAGTTATATGGGGTGATGAAGCTAAGTTTACCAAAAATGGATAATTTAGTCCTCATAATACTCATTTTTGGGCTGATGAGAGGCCACACGTGACTTATATTTCCAATAAAGTTGGAGTTTCAACGTTTATTGTGCTATAAAGCACAATAATATTCTGTGTTTGTACTTCTATGATGAAAATTTGAATGGTGAAGGATACTGTAACCTACTACAAAATTTTGTGAGAGTTGCAGTGAATAATTCATCAATTAAAGATGCAGAAAATATTCGGTACCAACAGGATGGCCATCACTTCATATTTTAGGGACGGTAGGTGTATTACTCAATCTATTACTTTATGATAGGTGGATTGCCGTTAATGGCTTTTGCCCAGCACGTTCCCCCGATCTGTCTTCTATGGACTATTATGTATGATGACATATCAAAAATATTGTATATGCAGATCCTGCAATAAGTAAGGATAACATGATTAGAAAAGTTTTACAAGCATTCAACAGCGTAGATGTCCATGAAATCACTAGAGCTGTAAGTGACAATTTGTGGAGAGAGTAAATAAATGTCTATAAGTTGAAGGGAATGTCTTCTAACATATTTTGATATAGTTTTTATATTTTGTGTGAAAAGACAATGCAAAGTTCTTGAATTTTCATTTTTTTATGAAACATTTAGAGTAAACATTTTTTAATTTATCATTTATTCATCTGAAATCTTGTGTTCAATAAAAACCATGACGGCAAGTATTCNTACAGAGACAGAATTAAAATCAAAATTTGATAAATGAGGTGTGAATGAGGTAAACTAAGACATTGTGTCCTTTTCAATGAAAATAGAACTTTGAACAAATAACAATAATTAACTATAATGTAAAGACAAAAGTAAATCACAGCAAATGTTCAAAATGCTGACCTTGTTCTTGGTAACACAACTGTGTCCTTATTCGAATATTATTCCCTGCACGATTAATTTCCCTCCTCCTCAATTTTCCGAACTATCTAACAATGCTATGTTGAAGGTCCTCAATATTTTGATATTCCCTCTGACCATAAACTCAATTTTTCAGTGTGCCCCATAAGAATGTATCCATAACACTTAAGCCTGGAGACTTTGCTGGCCACCTCACCGGCCCATTATTCATTATCCATTTATCACCGAATCTTTCAGTCAGGTAATCAGATACTCGTCTGGTAGTTTGCGGTGGAGCACCATCATGTTGAAACCAGATGTTGTTATAGATAGCCAAAGGTAGATCATCCAAATAGTCTTCGAAAATCGACATTAAAAACTGGTGATTGGTTTCTCCATTTAGAATTCCATTGAATAAATGAGGACCCAAAATTCTATCTTTGTAAATTCCTGCCCACACGTTAATACTAAATTGCACTTGAGGTCGAATTTCTCGGAACTGCCTGAGGTTGTTTATACTCCAGATATGTTGTTCTTTATTTCGGTTGAATATCCCACAATTCGTAAAAGTGCTTTCATCTGCCCAAATTACATTTTCCAGGAAAACAGGAAAATCGGGTCTTCTTATTAGCCAATTACAAAATTATAATCGCCGTTCGGGATCACCTGGGATGCAATTTTTGAGATATGTGTATTTTGTAATATTTTAAGCTCTTTTTTTTGTTGTTTTTAGTCAGGCAAATGCGTAACTTTGCCTCAATTTAACATTTTTTGTATCTCTCATAGTTTTCGAGATCCCAATGGTAAGGATCGAATTTGAAGCACCCTGTATAATGTGAATGCACTAGCGAACTAATATGACATAAAACTTTATATGAATCATGGGGTATTGATAAATGTGTATGACCTCTGAGGACCGACTTCATGCAGAGATCTCTTACTCTGTATTTTTTTTCAAGGACAAGACACATGCACTTAAACACTGAAATTCGAGGTGTACTGAGTTGAACCTTAAAACGATGAGCAACCACAATCCGTCGCATATTTCTGATATGTACCACTCTTGGTGGAATCAAATGTACCAAGTCACTTGAACACTTTCCGTGAAATTAGCTATAAAAGAGAGACAAATCTCCAACCTTTGCAGCGACATGATTGTGCCAAGACATAGTTCCTAAGGAATTGTTTATTGATAGTTTTTTATTGACATCACCGTTATATGATGGAATCGGCCGATACTTGATGAAAATCCATAACTAACGTATTCCAAAAACACTTTATTGTGAGATTTTCACTAAATTGTTTTACAAAAACGTAACACGTGTTTCGCCATACAATGGCTTCATCTAGCGTGTCTTGAGTTGAAAGTGCCAAGTCTGTATAATCTATGGAAATGTACACGGCAACGTATCTTGACCGAACTAAATGATGCCAGGAAAGACTAGAACGACGCGACAGCGACGGGACTATTCTAGAAAAGAGAAGACGCGAGGAGGTATGGGAAACTTCTAGGAAGCGGATTTACCATTATATAAGCATGTATTCATGTATTAGAGTAGTTTAGTTGAGTAAAGCTATTGAACTTATGAAGATAAGTTCCCAAATAAAAGTTTAGTTGCAAAAGTTGTAGCAGGTGTTGTTATTGGACGGACCTAGGATATTTAATCATAACATTATTTATCAACCTGTAACGCACAAGTGCGCGATTAACGTTAGTGTTGTCTGTCTGTCTGTAGAGTAGGGAGGGTGAGTGTAGACTCACAGCACTTAGGCCACATGTGACCCATTGTACATCCTCCCGAAGAGTTGTCCTCATAGGTTATCGTCTATCCTGTCCTTTCCAGGAAGGTGAACAGGTCACTAGGAGATGTCTCCTTTACATTGGCAGGTGTAGGCCCATACTCGCCGAACACAAACTCTCTTTGGCTACCTTGAGGTGTCTCACGGTGGCCTCCGCGAAGGTTTTGGAAGGTGCAGCGATATTACTGTCGTTGCGCGGCTTCAACTTTCTTGGGGTTCCTTCCGTGGAGATGCACAAGTGAGGGAGCTTTCCTGCAGGGGCAGCCGGTTCCTTGCCTTTATTCAAGGCAAGGCTCTTGGCGCCCGCCGCAGGAAGTGCCCTTGCTGTTGGAGGTGATCTGCTATGTCCAGCCTCATTCCAAGCGGTAGATTGGAGTGGATATTTCTGTTCATCCCCAGCCACCGCCTTAGATTGAGGTGAGCACTTCTGTCCAGCCTCGGGATTGGTTTCTGTTGTTTCTGTTTTTGTGTTGTTTTATTCATGTGTGTTCCCACGAGTAGCGAGGGAAGAGTTGGTCACCTCTGGCAGGGCCCCCTTTACCAGAGGTAGGCTGATTACAATAAGGTTTCGCCCAGTTCTCCAAGGGGATCGTTCGTGACCGCATATCACTCTGCGGCCATTCAGCTGTCGGCACGATTCTTTACACCTTAGCTTGGGTAGGCTAGTCCACGGTGGCATGTTTTGCAAATGCTTTTGGGGGATTTTGGTTCTCATCAACCTACTTATTTCTGCCACTGATCAGGAGTCCGGCGACCCCGTCCATGAGGCCACATTGTCTTCCCGGACAGGGCCTCCAGTTCCCTGGCCGTTCCCCTATCCGCCACCTGGGGACGCGACCGATAGGTAGCCCAACCCACGGGTAACGTTAGTGTTATGGCGGCTAAAAATCAGAAATTAGACTTCGGTCCTTTCAAATTTCTTGGACAAGTAATTATGGTTTTGTCAGCAAAACATATGTGCATCATGTCTGAAAAGCGTAGTATTCCGGACATCTAGTATTTGGATAATGCTGATAGAACAGAGACAATCCAAGGAGCTGTTGCTCAGTATACAAAGCAGGCAACATTCTTTGCAAAATGTCAGAAAAGGGAAGATCTTTCACTGATGAGGAATTTGTGAGCCAACGTTTCTGAGAAGTGTGGATGTATTGTTTGATGATTTTCCTAATAAACAAGCAATACTAGTCTGAATTCAAGATATTCCAGCATCACCGCGTACTATTGAAAGGCGAGTTACTGAAATGGTAGAAAACGTACGGAAACAACAGATTGAAGCCATTAAACAGAATATCGTATTTAGTTGGATGAAAGTGTCGACGTTAATGACATTTCCCAGTTGGCAATCGTTGCGCCGTACTTTGTATTGTATTGTATTTATTTATTAAGTAGGCAAGCCTAATATACATAAATATCTCACGACATTAACTATGTAAATATAGTAACATTTTAAAGTATCTTTCAAGGAAAACCAAATATACATACATATCTATAGATTATTAGGTTAGTTCACATTAAAAAATTAAAAAAAAATTACAAATATCATAATGAGCTGTCACTAATATACTTCTTTAATGATGACTTAAATTGGTTTATTGAATTAGATTCTTTTACAAATTGTGGTAGTTTAATATCTGGTCGAGGCGGGAATCGAACACACGACCTTCCGATCGTGAGTCGGACGCACTACCACCGCGGCCAATTCCACAACATTGGTCAACTACTTTTGAAATTTCATTGCATAATCCATCAAGAAAGTTAATGCGCGCAGATCTCGAGCGGAAGCTTAAAATCTAACTAACTCATAGACAATTCGTCATTTTCACAAGAAATAGAAAGTGCATATTCAGATATTCCATTAGACAGCAATATACGCTCACTTAGCATTTAATGAGGAAATGTTAAACTACATGACTTCACTGAAAGGAAAATTTGCTGAAAGAGATCAAAATTTTGATAAACATGGTCATATGTTCTCCTTCTTGATAAAACCAGACTCAAAGGATTTTACTAGCATTCCTTTTAATGATTATTTTTTCGCATGGATGGAAATTCAAGATTTTCAGCTTCAGCATATTGAATCTAGAAACTCCCAGTTATGGAAGACAAAATTTGTGGAACTAAGAAGAGTTTCTGAAGGTCATCTTCGAGATAAATCAAAGAAAATACTGAATTGTTGGACTAGTTTGCCAGCTAACAACAGAAAATTCAGAGGCGTGTGTAATATTAAAGGAAACGTCGACATGAATCAGAAATACAAAAGTTTTTGCGAGAAACAAGGACAAGGATCACACTGATAACGTTCCATGTGCTATGTTTCATTTTTGATTGAAATATTTGGAAATATTGTTGATAATTTTTTTATTTTATTAGTTAACTTCCCCATTACTTTAAACAATGTTTGTATAAAAATCATACAGATTTTTATAGTGGCACTTTGCCTTTGTTTAAAAGTGCATATGGACACCTCTTTGTTAAAAGGTTGCGGACCCCTGCCCTAGGGTATATTCCAGAATAACCAATAAATATATAAAATGGTTCTTTGGGAAACACAATGAAAACCTCTTTAATTTTTGTTTCTATGAATGAAAACGTTGTGGAGGAAAACAGTTTAATAAGTCAATTTACCATTTCAGAAATGACAGAAGACCATCTTCATCCAGCACCAAGTCATGTGCCAGCCCCCACAGCTCCCCATGATACCAATCTGAGTAACGGCAACCATTTATCTGCTCCACCAGAAGTAACAACAACTATAATCCGTTTGTGCCAGCCTAGTCGAAGAACTCACTCAAAATCAGCTGCTGCAATAATGGGTATTTCAGATAGCAAGTCTTCTGAGACAAAACTAAATGGACTTTTTGAACAGTACAAGGATAAAAGTGAAGATAGTATGCTTGCTGAAGGAATAGAACAATTTTGTCAAGACTTGCAAGTTTCTCCTGATGATTTCAAAATATTAGTTCTAGCTTGGAAACTTAATGCGGAACAAATGTGTCGCTTTACACGATTAGAATTCATAACTGGAATGAAAGCTATTCGTGCTGATTCAATTAAATCACTACAAAGTCGCTTGCCAGAACTAGTGAGTGAAGTTAACAACAATTATGAACTCTTTAAAGACTTGTATCGTTTTACTTTTCGTTTTGGGTTAGATTCATCCTCAGGTCAAAGGATTTTACCAACAGACATGGCAGTCATTTTGTGGAAGTTGGTGTTTACATTTCGCGAACCACCCATATTGAATCGTTGGCTGAACTTTCTGGAAACTCATCAGATAACTAGAGGCATTCCAAAAGACACCTGGAATATGTTTTTGAATTTTTCTGAGCATGTAGCGAATGACTTAAGTTGTTATGATGATAATGAAGCTTGGCCTAGTCTTTTTGATGATTTTGTAGAATTTGAAAACGACCAAGTGAACCAAAATATTCCAAAAGATATGGAAAAAGAATCTGATGGACTTATCATTACAAAAAATTGATGTTTCTTTGGTGTATTATCATTGAACAAAAAACTGCCTAAGTATTTTATAATATTAAATGCAAATAAAGTGTTGTGATACTATGAATGTAGCCCTTTCAAATCTACTGTAAGAAAGAAGTGTAGAGTTATTCTATATTTTGATTTGTATATATATAATATTTATTGATATGCCAAAGGATAGTGGTGTCGTCAGCGAAACATGTGAATTTACCACTTATGTTAACATGGACCAAGTCATTGACATAAATGAGAAACAACACCGGTCCCAAAACGGAACCTTGTGGAACCCCACTGTCAATGAAACGTTCCTCTGATGAAATTCCATCTAATAGAACATTCTGCCGCCGATGAGAAAGGTACGTCTCAAACCAAAGTATGCCGATCCTCTAAACCCGTAAACTTCCAGCTTGCGAAGAAGCAGTATGTGGTCTACACAATCGAAGGCTTTGGTTAGGTCACAAAACATGGCCGCCGCAGATTCTCTGTCATTAAGATTGGTGTACAGGTTTTCCAGGAGTCAAAATATGGCGTCTTGTGTACCTGTTGAAGACTGAAAGCCAAATTGGAATAAATTTATCACATTGTTTTTCTCTGAAAATAAAATGACTGAAAGTTGTCAAAAGTCTGCGAAATAGATTTTGTAGACTTTTGAAAGTTCACAAAAATTTAAACGAGTTTTTAAATTCACCGACGAGTCTAACTATTGATCTGATGGATTTACCTATTGGTCCATTCAAAACGTTTCTATTGGTTGAAGCAAACCATCAGAATTTTTTTGTTGAAATTAACTTGCAAATCCAAAACAAGAACTGTTTAAAAATCTGTTTTTCCGTTAACCAGCTGTCGCACCCCTACGAACGACAACCCTCAAAAGTCGAAATTTGTGCGAGCTAAGGACTAACGTATGTTCGGATAGGTTTTAGCCTTTTAAAATCTCCATTTATGTCATGCGTTGTCAGACTTAATAGGTAAGACACATTTCAAACTTGGTTTGGTCCAAATATCTGTTTTAAAGGAGATCTTCTCAAATTGTGTGAGCAAATCCTAATTTATTTTTGCTAATGTTGCATATGAATGACCACATATATTTTCAGTAAAAAAATGTCTTCCCTTAAGTGATTATTCGGCACAATCAACTGCATAAATCGCCGAAATCAAATACCATCCACAAAATTGAAGAGTAGATCTTCCAAAGCAATCAGTTCAAGTAATAATCTGTCAATTTCCATTGATTTAGCATTGGAAGTACACCATTTATGATTCTTCAGCAAAGTTTCTTTTAGAGTAATTTGTTTTTTAGCCTCTTGAAGAGGCGTCGAAGTAGAGAGCTATACTGTATTTTTATTTTCAGTTTTCAATTTTATAAATTGTTCATATTCAGTAGCATGAATAGACTTTAAATGACCTTTTAACGATGTTGTCGTACCTTCCTTTCTTGAATACGTCTTCATACAAAGTTTACACTTTGCCTAGTCTGAATTCGGTTTCATTTTCCAAAACAAAAACAGATCACTTTAATTGATATTGAGCCGCAAAAAAACAAATGACAATAACATTTAAACGTGCCATGTGCGTAACAAACTAACATCAAATAAAAAATAATCGACGATAGAACGCACGTAGCGGAAGACGGGGGGTTCCCCGCGCGACATGTATGAAATATGAACCTGTTCGTAACAGTCGATGCAGGCTGCCGCCGCTATTTGTTATGATTCGACCTCTGATTAAAACCTCCGATTTAAACTTCCGACTCGTCGGAGTCGAAGCTCCGTAACATTCCGTAACAATAGTTCGAACTCGATTTCATGAAAAACATTGTTAAAAACTATAATTGAATACCAATTATGTGACTTCGACGACCACGCTTCCATATCAAAAAAATAATGTACGTCAATTACAATTTTTAATTTTCGGCAATAATTTCTGAGCTATGGGATCTTGGGAGCTTTTCTGTCCATTGTTTTGAATCAAGGAAACAAGACCCTATCGATTACTTCGCTATTTTAATGCTCTGAGAAATATGGAGAAAATTGTCGGAAACCCTGATTTCAAATTTTCGAATTGTTAACTGTTCCAGTAGGTCTCTAATCTGTAATAGATTGCATGTCTGGTGAAAATTTCAAGTCATTATCTCATTTTCTTCACCAGATATTCGATAAAACGCAACCAATTTTTATATTATTCAGATTGTTCTCAGATATGTCATTAAAATTTATTTTTTAATGAACTGATTATAAAATTAAGAATTCTTGATTGTAGAAAATGGTAGACAACAAGAGGATATTTGAACTCTTTTTCATTATTGCGGTGATCCCATATTTCAAACTTTTCCAAATACTATCACACCATCAAAGTGACCAAAAAATAGCGGTAAAGGAACTTGCCGTTTATTGTCACTTGTCAACTGTCACATGGTAGCTGTCACCTGTCATTTATAATATCTCTCCTGTTAAACATCAATTGTCAGTTGCCAGCCGTTACCCGTCGCTTGTCAGCTGTCATTCGACAGCCGTCACTCAGAGTGGTCCCTGTGCCAAAGTAGCGATTCATATTGTATTTGAATCGCTGGAGATTATCGATTCGGAAAATCGTTCTTAGGAAGATTATTTTACATAAACGCAGTGCTCCAGATGAAAGAGTTTTTGAACAGTGAAGTTCGAAGTGTACTGAGTTGAACCTCAAAACGATGAGCAGTCACAGTTCGTCGCGTATTTTGATATATACNTGAAGAATTGAAGGGGTTATATTCTCGGGGTAAACTTTTCAGTTTACCTTAACTACTCTTCGGCAAATTCTCTATTGATTTAGCTTAGATTTTTTCAGATTGTGGAAGGTTATGAACCCAAAAAAACAGCATAAAATATTAAGTCCTCCACAAAAAAATATCTTACTGATTACTCTTTTGATGAGGGTCTTCGATCATAAATGAAATTCGGCAGCTTCTCATTTTTTGTTGGAAATTGCTGCGAAAATGTTAGGTTTCGAGTTACAGGGAAAAGTTTTATCAAATTTCTCAACTTACAATTATGTAGGAACAAACATCGTGTGTAAATTCCTATCAAGGTACTGAGGTTATAACGTGCCCTGGGGTGAAACCCAGAATTTTATCACCTGCTCCGCCTACTTTCCAGAATATTCGGATACCGTACCTCCTCTAGCTGTTAGACGACTTTATCGACTACAGCGATAAAGAACAAAATTCAAATTGTAATGGGATGTGACGCCAATTCACACCATACAGCGTGGGGCAGCATGAATATATATATACCATAGAGGTGAGGTACTCTTTGATTATACACTAGGGGAAGGGCTGTCTGTAATTAATGAGGGCTCGAAACCATTTTTTGTCACTAGTAATAGGCAAGAGGTACTAGACTTGACCATCAGCTCACATTCTCTGAGCAACAAGATACATCATTGGTCTGTATCTACTGAACCTTCTTATTCAGACCATAGTTATATTCTTTTCAATTTTGAAACAGGTCTTAGACCAGTAGTGGGATATCGTCACCCAAAATCTGATTGGAATAAGTATAAAAACTCCCTCCAATCATACTTTGAGGACGGATTCATTACTATTCACAGTTGTAATGATATGGATATAGTAGCGGAGCAATTTCGCGAAGCAGTGATCCCATCCTATCATGAGAACTGTCCACTGAGGATTAAAAGAGATAACCATACCTTTCCTTGGTGGAGTAAAAGCCTTGAAAAACAAAGAAAAGAAGTTCGACGATTATTATTCAATCGAGCTAAAGAGTCAGGTAACTAGGAGCTTCATAAAACTACATACAACAAGGAAATTAGAAAGGCAAAACTGGAGTCTTGGAGGAAGTTCTGTGAGAGTATCTCTGATTTACCTCGCAACACAAGAATTCACAAGATTCTCTCTAGCGTGCCGAATGCTGAAATTGGGTCGCTTAAACGATCCAATGGAACATTCACGACTTCTAGTAAAGAAACGTTAGAGCTTTTGATAGACAACCACTTTCCTGTAAATCTGACTCTTGATAACAATAGAACTCCCATCCCATAACCCCATAACCCAAGAAGGTTATCATTATATCACAGCATCGGCAGTTGAATGGGCTATCAAGTCGTTTTAGCCCTTCAAATCTCCTGGAGAGGATGGTATATTTCCAGCTCTTCTTCAAAATGGACTGGAAATAATTTTACCTATTTTCATAAAATTGTATAGAGCTAGTCTGGCGTGGAACTATATACCACCCAGTTGGTTGGCAGCAAGGGTGGTATATATACCTAAAGTGGATCGGAAAGACCCACACCCTAAATCGGTACGACCAATCAGCCTTACATCCTTCCTGTTGAAAGGACTTGAGAGGATACTGGACGGATACTTCAGGAGGGCGGCATTATATGCATCCCCCTGAATAAACACCAGTATGCTTATCAAGCCGACAAATTGAACAGAAATTGAAAGAAATGAGTGAGGTTATCGCAAATAAATCGCAGATATTGATGTTCGTTGACATTTTAGGATTGTGTTAAATTTGAAAAATTATCTTTATTGATAATAAAATCGTTTTGTTGTTCATTATTTGGAGTACTAGGGGAATGGGCCGATATTGATGATTCAATTACAACGTTGAATAAGATACCCGAGGTAAGGACAATTTGTAAAATATTAAAAAAATAAATAATGAAGAAACCAATAATATACGTAAAAGAAAAATGTACATTTCATATTGATGGAAGGGAAATTTGTGTTTGTAAATCAGAACATAAAAATGAAAGATAGGTATGATTTATCAGAAAATGAAACGTAATTCCTGTTTCACTATTGGCTGATCTATATTGACCAATCTATAAAGAACTGTTAAAAAATTAGATGAATGTTCAAATTTCGCGGACTACGTACATTCGATTAGCGTTTTTTTTCATGTTGGTACACTCATCTCGAACATGTGTTCACAGTTTCAGCTGTTTAGCATGTTTAGTTTGTTGGTGAGAGTCATAAAAGTTAGAAGTGTTTTGCCTATTCAGTGATTTTCTGCCTTCGAAAAAAATTGATCAAATAATTTGCATCAAATTTTGTGTAAAAATTGGGATTGAGTACTCAACTTGAAATGTTGGAAGTGGCATACGGTGAAAGTTCTCTCAATCAGAAAAATATCTACAAGTGGTACAACCCTTTCACAGAAGGTC